GAATCGCTTAAGCCTAATTGCTGTGAGCTGTGATGCCACAGAATTCTACCCAGGAGGACAGCTTGAGACTCTGCCTCAAAAAAAAGAAGTTTAAACACTTTTCCTCATTAAAGAAGGAAGACATGGGAATTTATATTTATTTATTTATTTATTTTAGAGACAGAGTCTCCTTTGTCACTCTGGCTAGAGTGCTATGACATCACATTTCACAGCAACCTTCAGCTCTTGGGCTTAGATGATTCTCTTGCCTCAGCCTCCCGAGTAGCTGGGACTACAGGTGCCTGCCACAATGCCTGGCTATTTTGTTGTTGTTGTTGTTGTTGTTGTTGCAGTTTGTCTGGGGCTGGGTTTGAACCCACCACCCTGGGTATATGTAGCTGGCACCCTATTTACTGAGCCACAGGTGCTGCCCAAGACATGGAAATATAGACCATTATCTTGGAGAAAAGAAAAATAATTAGAGAGAATGAATGGACCAGGGAGAACAAAAGAATCTTATAAATGATTGTTTTAGGAGTCTAAATGAATATGAGAGGCAAAAATTATGTTGAGGAAAAACCATCCTCCAACAGTGGTTGAATATTTTATGTGCACAGTTAACGAGGTAACAGGAAAGCAATACAGAGCAACTGTTTTTGTTTGGGTAAGAAGCTTTGTTTGTTACATAGGAAATTTAATTTATTTAATTTATTTATTTTTGAGAGTCTCAAGTTGTTGCCCTGGGTAGAGTGCCGTGGAGTCATACTTCACAGTAACCTGAAAATCCTGGGCTTAAGCAAGTCTCTTGCCTCAGCCTCCCAAGTAGCTAGGACTACGCCTGGGTATTTTTAAAGATGAAGTCTCACTAAGGCTCAGGCTGGTCTTGAACCTGTGAGCTGAGGCAATCTGCCCTCCTCAGTCTCTCAAGTGTTGGGATTACAGGCGTGAGCCACGAAGCTGGGATAGCCTCAGTTTTTCTACTTTTAATAGAGACTGGGTCTGGCAGGACGCAGTGGCTCAGGCCTGTAATGGCTGAGGATGGTGGATAGTTTGAGCTCACAAGTTTGAGACCAGTCTGACCAAGAAGCAAGACCCTATCTCCAGTAAAAAATAGAAAAACTGAGGCAAGAGGATTGCTTGAGCCCAAGACTTTGAGGTTGCTGTGAGCTATGATGTTATAGCTCTCTACCCAGGGTGAGAGCTTGAGACTGTGTCTCAAAAAAAAAAAAAGTAGAGACTGGGTCTTGCTCCTGCTTATGCTGGTCACAAACCTATGGGATCAGGCAATCCACCCACCTTGGCCTCCCCAGTTAGGATTACAGGCGTGATTCACCACACCTGGCCCTAAGCTACAATTTCCTTAAGAATTACTTTTACTCCCCAGCATCAACTTAGCAGGAACTAATTTGAGTTTAACCAATCCAAACTAACAATTCTCTTATGACTACATGAGCCCAAGAGTTTGAAGAAGTTGCTATGAGCTATGACCCTAAGGAGGGCAAAAAAAACTATGTCTCAAAAAAAAAACAAAAACAAAAAACTCAAAAAGCGTGGAGTTGGGCAGATGTGTGTAATCCCAGCTACTCCCAAGGCTTAGACAAGAGAATTGCTGAGCCCACAAGTCTAAAGCTCCTGTGAGCTATGGCACCATGGCACTCTGGGTGGGGGTGGGGGGAACAAAGTGAGGCTCTGTTTCAAAAAACAAAAGAAGTTAAAGTAGAAGGAGCCCTGGGATGTGCCTGACCCCAGGTGCTAACCTCCTGCCCTGGTATAGGCCCTGCCCAGCCATTACCTGCCACTTCTCTTAGAGTCCCAGTATGTCACCCTCAGTAGAATGCTGTGTCATCACAGCTCACAGCAACCTCCAACCCTTGGGCTTAAGGGATTCTCTTGCCTCAACCTCCCAAGTAGGTGGGACTACAGGTGCCCACCACAACTCCAGGCTATTTTTTTGTTTTAGTTGTCATTATTGTTTAGGAAGTCCAGGCTGGGCTTGAAGCCACCAGCCTTTGTGTACATGGCTGGCACCCTACCTACTGAGGTACAGGCACTGCCAACCTGCCACTTGTCCTGGCTCCACATCCCTGCTTACCCAGCTCAGCCCCAAGGTCTCTTCTCCTTGGTGCAGGCCAGAGGCAGAGAAGAGGCTGGTGCTGTGCTCACCTGTGTTCAATTTGGAGCCTCAGAGCTCTGGAAGGTTGGATTAATTAGTGGAAGTGACTAATCCCTGGAGGTGGTGGATGTACTTATCAGACTTCAGGTACTTCTTAGAAACCTACATCTCACACTTACTGTGCACTGTCCGGTCACAGTGATCACATTGCTTATGTGTCTATCCCATCCTTTGCAGAGTTATGTAACCAAAGTATTCAGGTTCCTTCTCAGAGGTCCATTAATTTTTGTTCAGTGTATGATTTCTGGAAGATAGATAGGCATCTACCAAGCAGTGTGTGAAGTGTGTGCCCACAGGTGGACCCTTTTCTACCTTTAGACAGGCTAACTTAAGGGACTATCCATTTTTGCCCCCTCAAAAGACAAGAGTTCAGGCTAATTTTAAAACATGTAAAACTTTAAAATAATTGTTGTTTTTCACAAAATGGTACCAAAGGCAAAGAAGGAAGCTCCCACCCCTCCCAAAGCAAAGGCATTGAAGGCCAAGAAGGCAGTGCTAAAAACCAACCACAGACACAACAAAAAAGGATATTCATACATCACCCAGAGTTTGGTGGCTGATAGCTCTGTGGCTCCTCTGTGGACAGCCCATATATCCCAAGAGAAACAAACTTGGCCACTGTGCATCAAGTTCTCCCTGACCATGGAGTCTACCATGAAAAAGAGAGAAGACAACACACTTGTGTTCATTGTGGATGTCAAACCAACAAGCACTAGATCAAACAGGCTGTGAAGAAGCTCTATGACATTGATGTGGCCAAGGTCAACACCTGGATCAGGCTTGATGGAGAGAAGAAGGCTTATGTTCCACTGGCTGCCGATTATCATACTTTGGATGTTGCCCATCGAATTGGGATCATCTAAACCAAGTCCAATGCTGGGGGCGGTATCTCACACCTGTAATCCTAGCACTCTGGAGGGCTGAGGTGGGTGAATTGCCTCAGCTCATTGGTTGGAGACCAGCCTAAGCCACAGAAGACCCCAATTCTAAAAAAAAACCTGGGCATTGTGGCAGGTGCCTGTAGTTCCAGGTACTTGGGAGATTGAGGCTAAAGGATCTCTTAAGCCCAAGAGGTTTTTTTCACTATGTGCTATGATGCCAGGGCCCTCTACTGAGGGAGATAAAGTGACAATGTGTCTCAAAAAAGAAAAATAAATAAATAAATAAAAATACAAAGTCCAGTTGGCTAATTCTAAATACAACATGGATGTAAAGTTTGAGTGTAATATAAATAGTAAAGTATTTTAATTAAAATTGAAATTATGAGGTCGGCACCTGTGGCTCAAATGGCTAAGGTGCCAGCCACATACACCTAAGGTGGCGGGTTTGAATCCAGCCCAGGACCGCCAAACAACAATGATGGCTGCAACCAAAAAATAGCCGGGTGTTGTGGCGGGTGCCTGT